ACGTGACGCCACCGATATAACCCCCTTCTAGGCCCGTGTGTAAAGGAAGCGGATGTGATAGAAAACTGTAACGGCTAATTATTATTAACTAACTAAACAAAATGCGAGGGTATTTGTTATTCGCGCAACCAAATGATATCTGAAAAGTTATCAACTCTGTTATTTCCTGATATTATGAGCTAGGTATTATTTATTCTGTTCTATGAGCCTTACTTATAATCATTGTTTCTCGCTTACTTTTATTACGTATTAATTATCCTTATATTTGTCTCTTTCTTTGGTAATTTAGTTGGAGAGAGAGAGAAAGAGAGAAAAAGAGCAACTTTAAGCACTTCCAAAATTTTCGTTAATGTAAGTAAGGTTAAGGCCGAAGCCATTTAATACGGTACACTTACTCTGATAAATTTTATTCCTATAAAATCGACGTCAATTTAAGAAATGGTTGAAGTTGCTCGCTCTCTTTTCAATAAATGACACTAGAGAGAAACAGGTTTAGAGATAATCAATACTTAATTTAAATAAGTAAAACTCGATTCTGTTGGGATAGTCAACGATTATAAGGAAGTCTGCTGATGTATTAAAGTTTAACATTAAACAAATTTGAATTTAAATGAACGGTAAAATGATCTTTAAAAATGTCTACCATTTTTTTCATCTACTCAGTAATGTATAGACACAAAATGTAAATGAATAGTGCTGCGCCCTACTCCATTAATATTTTCCGATAATTCACTTTCCAAATACATTACAATATTACGTCACGTCACTGACGTACTCGTATATCTTGGGATTTTAAATATACCCATCGCGATTTTATTAACGTAGAAATGAAACAATTTTGGTGATTCTTTTACTATTTATACATATTCGACGTTCCTATTGCATTAAATGCATATTGTGAGCATATTGAAGAGGCATGGTAAGATACTTCACTACTTCATAAAATCATACCGTTGTGGCCGTGGAAGGAAAAGGGGAGATCTCCCGCCGGGCAAGGTGTTCTGCCCGGGGAGCGGCCAACACTCCGTGTGATAGTTTGGAGATGTTCTTATATGCTGTTTATAATTCGGAATGTTGATAGCGTGATTTAGGCTTCGGTGTGTTTCGCTTGTGGCGCGACGACAGCGCCGCTACACCGTCGGCTGTTGGAAGAGGAGACGAAGGGAAATGAAACAGAAGATGGGCAGCAGTATCTTGTAACTGACAACTCAAAACAATAATATGTTTTCATACGTGGTAGAGTCATGCTGCAGTTATATTAATAGTATAGTTGTAGCACGAATGGGTCGGCTCGTCCGGTGATGGACCACGCTCTCACAGAATACCAGCGTCAAATAGTAGCTGAAGCGTGTTTCGTATGGTGAGTGTAGAGAACCGGAGACCCTTTTAACTGGAAACGAGGCATTCCATCTTAGTCCTCAACTGTAGTCCTCAGATGTAGATGTCTATGGGCCACAGCAACCACTCACCATCAGGTGGACTGTGTGCTCGTTTGTCACCCTATCCTATAAAAAATAAACAGCGGTTGGTGGTTGATACCAGTCTGCCAAGCGATGCAACTATAGCTAGCCTATCCGGTAGTCCATGGAGGAGGAATATTTTCAGCAGTGGACTTTTGGTAAGCTCTAATGAAAGAATGAATGAAGTCAGCTTGAATCGAAAACTCAAACAAATTCGCAATAAATTTCAGGAGTAAAGCTGCTGATTTAAAAAGGTTAATCAATCAATTCGATTTGTGAAACACGATTGAGCTACGATCAAGTATTCTCAGCAACGTTAGGCACATCTGGCTATATTTTCTCGGTGATTATTTTTAATAGATCAAAAACATACTTCTTAAACACTTTTTTTTAAATAAATAGCACTAACATATAAAATTTCTCGTCGCTTCGTCGCGTCGCGGACAACTGAAGACTTCTGTTCTGATTATTCGAATTTGAACTACCATTCTATGCTAGCTATTAATATAGGATAAATGTAGATGTCTATGGGTTATAGCTCCTCGTACCATGAGATGGATCGTGTGCTCGTTTATCACCCGTATTCTATAAAAAAGCCCTTTGTCGACCGTGCTCGTTTGTCACCCGCATTCTGTATAAAATAGCTTGTGTTCGAATTAAATTCGATTGATTTAGAATTCGATTCTGTTGGGATTAGACTGGCTTACGCTTAAGCTAGCCTACGGTTAGAGAGACCATCTACAAGTATAAAGTATTTTATTTGGCGTGAGTAAAAGACGGTTTCATTCATTCTTTCATGAAAATTTATCAAAAATCTATTGTTGAAAATAAGTAACCCCCCATAGATTGCCACATACGAGCGATTTTGCTTTGTTCACCTCATTTGGAAGGCGCATTTGCAACCGTATTTTTCTTATTATTTCCGATTGATGTGAAGAAGATTCTGCTCATTTTGTTTTAGTTTTTCTCTGTTGCCTCTTAAGTCACCCAGGGGATGATATGGGATATTTTACTTTGTGGAGCCATGCTTGCAGCTATATTAGTAGTATAGTTGTAGCACGAGCGTGGACCTTCCCCGGCTCTACCGGGGAAGGTTGACGCTCTCACAGAATACCAGCATAAAATACAGCACAGAATACAAAACGCTGCTGTGTTTTGTATGGTGAGTGAAAAGAAACGGAGACCCTTTTTACTGGAAACGAGGCATTCCATCTTAGTTCTCAGGATTGACAACGTATCTGTATTTTGGTTCGTAATCGAGGATACATGTAGATGTCTATGGGTCATACGAGCAGTAACCACTTACCATCTGGTGATCTTTATCAGGGTGTAAGGGGCTCCGCTAAGATCTTGGAGCCCAAGCCATCCCCACCTGCACGTGGCGCACCTGCTGAACAACGGAAAGGGCTCTGGCGATGCCACTCCTCTGGGATTCGTCCTAGGGGTTCGGGGGTCAGACGGCAGTCGCCCCGGTAATTGGCACTAAGCCACTCAAAAATGGAAAGTAAAAGAAAGAGATATACGTTTAGGACTAGGGCGTCGCCGCATAACGGCGCGCATGGGGATCGCCTTAACCCTGCGACAAGTATACGAGGACTACCGGGCCCCGTGCGAGCCCGGCTAAAGACGTTAGCACCAACTATGAAGATTCGACTCTCCACAGAACTTGCGGCCGTACTTGCCAGGCGTAAAGTCGCAGTGGCGTTCCTGCAGGAGACACGGTGAAAGGCCAACAGGAGCCGGAATATTGGGCACGGCTACAAGCTGATCTATACAGGCTCTTCTGGTGGGGAGAACGGTGTGGCAGTGGTGCTCGCCGAGCATTTCCACGATAGCGTCTTGGAAGTTAGACGCATATGCGAGCGACTTATGGTAGTAAAGTTGCTTGTTGAGGGGGTCGGGACCCACTTAGTAAGTGCCTACGCCCCACAGGTCAGCTGCAGCGACGCGGATAAGAGGCTGTTTTGGGATCGGCTCGGAGATGTACTACGCGGCATACCGTTGTCCCACGATGTCGTATTGGGTGGTGACCTGAACGGTCATGTGGGCGAGGTGCAGGGGGAGTATGAACGTGTCCACGGCGGCTATGGTTACTGTCGAGGAAACGCAGAGGGGGAAACCATTCTCAGAACCTGCACTGCAGCTGACCTGGCCGTCGTGAACACGTTCTTCAAAAAGAAAACCGAGCACCTGATTACCTACAGGAGTGGTCGGAACGCCACTCAAATCGACTATATACTGACCAGGAGAAGTCATATCAGTCGCGTGGCCAACTGTAAAGTCATACCCGGTGAGTGTCTCACTGCCCAACACCGACTTCTTGTCATGGACCTCTGCGTAAAACACCGTCGCAGACACGCCGAACGTTGCCGCCGTCAAATCAAGTGGTGGCTGCTGGATCAAACCAGATACTCAGAGTTTGACTCTGCCGCTGGGGATATTAGTCTCGACACAGCAGGCAAGTCCGTCCAAGAGTGCTGGAAAACCATTCAGACAGCAATCACAAAGACGGCAAAGCAAGTCCTCGGCGTGGCGAAAGGGGGTCGCAAAATCGACAAGGAGACCTGGTGGTGGGACGCCACAGTCCAGGGTTTATTACGGGAGAAGAAAACGCTCTTCAATACGTGGCAAGCGACCAAATCTCCTGAAGATTGCGCATCTTACAAGACAGCGAAAAGAGCTGCCAAGAAAGCTGTAGCCAGAGTCAGGCGTGACAACTTGCAACCATTATATGCTAAGTTGTACACTCCTGAGGGGCACAAGCTCATATATAAACTGGCGCGCTCTAGGGCCAAAGCAGCGCAAGATATTACTCGCTGCTGCAGCATCAACGGCCCTAACGGCGAGCTCGTGTACGATGAACGTGCGGTGAAGGAGAGATGGCGCTCTTATTTCCACGTTTTGCAGAATACTCAGCACCGGGAAGTGCACCCTCCCGAACGACTCCCGAACCATGGACGAGGTCCTCGCATCTCTTCGTCACATGGATAATCGGAAAGCTATCGGACCGGACGAGGTGCCAATTCAAGCGTGGAAAGCGCTGGGGGCTCGTGGTGTGTGCATTCTTACATAATAGAATCCTGAGTGACCGAATAATGCCCGTCAGTGGCGGCTTAGTATAATAACGCCGGTCCACAAGGGTAAAGGGTCCGTTCAGGATTGCGGTAATTTCCGCGGTATAAAGTGACGTCACACACCATGAAGCTCATCGAGCGCATTAGTGACACCAGGATCTGAGAGGAGTGTACAGTATCGGACTCCCAGTACGGTTTCCAACCAGGACGCGGTACCATGGACCCTATATTCGCCCTAAGGATCCTCATGGAGAAGCATAGGGAAAAGAATATGCCTCTGCATTTTTTATTCCTAGACCTGCAGAAGGCCTTTGACTGTGTTCCTAGGGAGATTATCTATTGGGCGTTGCGGTCGAAGTTGGTACCAGAGACCTACGTGGAAATCGTACGTGGTATGTACCGCAACTCCGATTCAATAGTCAGGACCGCTGTTGGTGATACCTCCCCCTTCCCCATAACCGTAGACATGCATCAGGGCTCCGTCTTAAGCCAATATCTCTTCAGCATGATATTAGACGAACTGTCAGCCAGCGTACAGAAACTAGCGCAGCCTTGGCTGCTTATGTACGCTGATGATATCGCACTGGTAGATGGGGACAAAGGACGGCTCACCAGACGCGTGCACGCATGGAGGGAGGCGCTTGAGAACGGCGGGCTGAAGCTAAATGTGGCGAAGACGGAGTATATGGCCTGCAACAGCACAGATCTGACGTCTCTCCGTATAGGCGACGACACCATCGAGCGCACGGACAACTTCAGGTGCCTCGGATCTGTGCTTGATGCATCCGGGGACATCAATCGCGACATCAAGGCCCGTATATCAGGGGCCTGGGCGAAATGGCTCGAGGTGATGGGTTTCATTTGTGACCTCAAAATGCCGGTCAAGCTGAAGGGACAGGTCTATAAGACCATCATAAGACCTGTCCTTACATACGGCAGTGAAGCGTGGCCAGTGCTGGAGTGACACCGGCAGTTGTTGCATGTCACGGAGATGAACATGCTGCGGTGGATGTGTGGCGTCACGCGGAAAGACCATGTACAGAATACATACATCCGCGGCAGCCTCAATGTCCGTGACATTGCTGACAAGCTCCAGGAAAGTCGCCTCCGCTGGTACGGCCACGTCTGACGACGACTGGCAAGCTACGTGGGAAACAAATGCCTGGACATGACCCTATCTGGTACCAGGAGTAGAGGACTGCCCAAGAAACGCTGGCTTGATGTCGTGCAGAACGACATGCGCGTCAATGGGCTTTTTTGCCAGTTGCGAGGGACGCCCAAGACCGGGCAAAGTGGAGGAGGAAGTGTAGAAAAGCTGACCCTGGGTTCTCCCGCGCTGGGCGGGATGAGCAACCGGGATAAACGCTAAGTAGAAGAATAAGAAGATCAGGTGATCTTTGTCACCCTTATTCTATAAAAAATATAGTGGATTGTGAAAGAAAAGAAGGTTAACAAAATAATTGTTTTTGAATTTCTAAGGGACAATGGTAATAAAAATAATATGAAATTGTACTTTATTTTAAGTAACTACAATTTTATGTGATCGAAACCATTTGTATAATATTCCAATTTCATTAACGACATGTTTAACAAAATAAAATTTGTATCAGCTGAACCAAGAGTTCACACACGCTCAGGAAAAATAATGTAGCTTTGATTGTAATACGTTTAAAAAAATCGTCTATTTGTAATATACATAGAGTATTAGACTTTTGCCCGGTTTTTGTTAGCAATATTTAAACTTTATTTAAACGAGTAATACTGATAATATCAATTCATTCATCCATTACCATTATCCACAAAAATTTAAAACCTTTTTTTGGCTGTTGAAAAATGGAAAGTTGTTTTATATTGTGATTTTTCTTTCATATTTAAGCCTTCAACATAAACTTTAATTAAAAAACATATTGATTGGCATGAAGGCAATGGCACATAAATCTGGGTTATATTTTCTACGGTACGACGAATTTTTGGTTATACTATCAAATCCAAGTTATTATCCGCACCAGCTGCGTGTACTGTGTCTGAACCATCATCAACACTGCAGCCTGATGTGTCCAATATTGAATATAATTATAGTTCTTCTAGAGAATGCCGAATAGTGTACTCCTTGTCGATTACCACCATAGCGGCTCTTGTTATATTATGGTTGCAAAATAATTGGGTCTGCTCGACCGAGGAAGGACTACGGCCCTTTGGTGGAGGTAGATAGAAAAACAAATTCATAAAAGTAATTTGTAACAAATCATTTACTCTGTTTCGTCCTGCTAACTCGAGTTTATTTCGAGTTGCATGAATTTCAACTCAAGTGACCTCCAGTCGTAATTTTTCATTTTGGCGGAGAGAAAAACAATTGCAAAAAGGGCGGGAAAGTGTTTTTTACTTTTAATTTTATTTTTCTTAATTTTCTACATATATTGCTATTAAAACCAGCCAGATACAAACAGTACAATGAAACTTTTTCCCCGACCTATGAATTAAACGATCACGCCATTAGACCAACAAGGCAGTTCGCGTTTTTAAACATACATTCAATTATAATAATATATAATAAAGAAAGTAGTCCAGCTCATAGAATATAATATGGTATTAAATTATTACGTGATAATTATTATTTATTTTAGAAATACCACTGGTTAGGAAAATACCTTTGTCCTACGAAGACTTAGCAAGAATTTTGGTTGGATTTTTTAGATATTAAAATTAATATTTATTTAATTTATTAGTTTTAATGTATGTATAATATAGCTTCGCTCGAATTTTAAAAATAAGTAATTTAGCGTACTGAAACCTTTATTTATTTGTGAATATGGCATTTTTTAAAATAACGGTAATCTTATGGACTCAATGAGCAATGGTATTTTGAACCCCTTGTGTTTCAGGTCTGTACCGTTGGTAAAGATCAAGCTTAATGGCTACCCATCCGTAGGTTATTATAAATTGGAACAAATAGTATTCTTGGCTTAAATCAGGAGAAATAAACTTTTATAATATAAATTTAGTCTCATCTGATTTGCGTTCGGTAGAAATATGCATGTGATTAGTGAAGATTAATTACATTAAGTATTCCGTAAAGACATTTATTGATTATAAAATAAAAAATATTTGTTGAGAATGTTAGTTTTAAAACATATTGTTCCAGAAAGTACATACCGTGCACCACAATTTTTCATGACTAAGTACGCAAGACACGCGTAAATTAATAATAACTATATACTATACTCAAAAGCAAATAAAATAAATAATATTGCCACTACTTGTGCCTTTATAATAGTACCACAAACCAAGAAGAACATAAGAAACACTGTGATGGTAAGTACTGTGTAACAACTGGCAGATAGATCGAAATTCCAACAAGATGTTAGTTAGTTCACACTATATTTCGAGACAAAGGGTTTTTACTTAACTTAGGCAACGTACTTACTTACGAGTATAGTATCAGTTACCTGGCAGTGAATGTTCGGTCAAACCGTCCGGCTATTTTGGAGATTCGCCGGAACAAACAGACAGACAGACAGATAGACACACATTTTAAAAATTGGTTTATTGTTACATAAGTACCGAATATACTTTAATATGTATGTAGTAAAAAGCTGTTATTTTGACGTTACATAAATAATGAACGATAACACCATATTTTGAGGCTTAGCGTTTTAGCTTAGCTTAGTTTTAGCTTAAGCTACTTTTATCCCACAACAAAGGAAAAATATCTCTATAGTATATTTTTAACGCCCTTGATAATGACGATAAATGCAAATTTTTTTATCTTATCACATACAATTATGATGGATCACGCAATTACGTGTACTTTAGAAATTAAAGAAAATGAAATACCAAAGCATTACTCTTCCTTTTATCGAATTATAATATTAAAATGTGTGTAGGTAGTGAGCGATGCGTCACGAATGGCCATAGATCACTAATTATATACAAATACTATAGACTTGACTTTGACAAATAAATCTCCTTGCCATGCTATCAGTGGTATTAACTACTTTCCGCTCGACTAAGTCTGGCCTTATATAATAACTCTTATAGAACACCTCTCTGAATTCATTGTCCGAATTTATATAAATAATTTGGAAAGCATGTATTCCAGTGCACTTTAATGACGCTCTATATATACTCAGATTTTACCAGATTGACCTGTCACAATGAAAATGACGAGCGTTATGAATTTCGGATCGTATAATTGGAGAATATGAATTCATTCAATGCGCATCTTTTCACGATTTTTATTTTAGAGCACACACGCATCGGAATCAGATTATGAATTACTTCATGTGGCAAACGTAGCAGTAGATGGCATGATTTTACTGACACTTGTGGTGATCAAAGTATATGTTAGCATATTCCGCGTACTATCGTTATTTTTTCGCTGTAATGTGGAACTGGTACGAACGTACTTTGTCCCATTAACCAGGAAACAAAGCGCTATAATCACTACCTTTTATTACAAATATTGGTAAAACAGCATTTGAATAAACACGACGAAAAAAGTTAACTGAAAAGAGAACATATTTTACCTTATGCCACTTCCACAAATAAGTCGAATTTGACGACATCCTATATACTAATTAACATATAGAGTGTCGTTAGGGAAAGCGGCGGGATTTAGATTGTGAATTTCGTCACTGTCGATATAACATATGATATTTCAGATGTGCTGACAAGTCAGTGTACTCACTACTCATACACCCTAATAACAACAACATAACAAGCAACGTTACGTGTGATATTATCCATTTTTATCTGACACGGAAAGGTGTATCTTAAAATCTCGTCACGTTTTCCATTAAGTTTAGCCGACACAGGCGTTTTCATTGGTGTTATATGTTTTTTGTGCACTTTGATCAACACATTTTGTAGCAGTATCCGTTTATATATTTTATATAATATAAAAGCATTTGAATATAAATGTATTATTATCAAATATCAGATACGAACATTGTCAGTAAGTTTACTACAACTAACTTTAGGGCTAAAGTAATAAATACGTCAAATTTAAAAGTAAATACCAATTTTTGCTATGGTATCATAGCAAATCATAGGTTTAACAAAACGTCAATATAAAATTAAAATAGAAAGAATGCTTTCAGAGTACACACGACGCAGCATATCTGCGTGTATTTCTAGTGTTCAGTGCGGTCACGGTCGAGTGAAAGAACAAGAATATATGGCGAATACGCTTATCAGGCTTGCTTGTATACAGTAATAATGCGACATTGTGTAGGGTAGGATATTTTATAGTTTCTCTAAATATCTGGCAGCTGATTTTAAGCTTATCGAAGAACCTATATTGCATCCATAAATTATAAAATATGGAGATCGTTTTTAGAGTAGGGTAACCAACTGGACCCTGTTACCAAGCCTCCGCCATTCATCCGTCTGTCCGTCTATCTGTCAGCGGGCTGTATCTTGTTATCCGTAACAGGTAGACATTTGATTTCACAGAGTATGTTTATCCAATGCCGCTATAACAACCAATAATAAAAATAAATTAAAAATTAAAGGGGACTCCCCTTCTAGAAACGTGTTTTACAATGGTACGGAACATTTCAGGCGCGAGTCCGACTCCCACTTGGCAGGTTTTTTCGAAATATCAAAAAGGGTCTCTCCCTCTCAATACGGGTTTGTTTCAACGCTAATTTCATTACCGTTCAATTTAATCCACCGCTAAGGATATTGTCACAAGTGATTATAGTACAGCAAGTGTAAATTTATAACTTAAGGAACTAACATTCTAAATATCTTTTAAGGAAATTTTGTTTAAGAAGCCTAAAATAGATTTATACGTAAATTTTTTTAATGATAATGTGACGGTCCAATATTATTATTAATAATTAAATTCAATATAAAGGGGCATCAAAAATAGTCTTAATATATATATATATATATATATATATATATATATATATATATATATATATATATATATATATATATATTAAGAATAAAATTACA